CTACGATCCCCGCTCATGGCAATGTCGGTGCTCCCGCTCTTCAAGGGCACCGTGGCCAAGATGGATCGCCCCCGTAGGGCCATGTTCTGAAAAGAATTCTTGCTAGCGTTGGACCAGTCATGCTACTCACACTCACACTTTGCAGACCCTTTTATGCAGAGCCTGATAGCTAGGCGCTGCACTAAACTGTGCTGCTCTTTACAGCTAGCGCTGCACACTGTAGTGCAACGCCTACCAGTCGGGCGCTGCATAGATGTGACGCTTGAGTGTTAGGCGCTCCATAGTAGAGTGCAAGGCTTTGCTGTCAGGCGCTGCATATTAGGGGTAGCTGGGTGAAATACATTTCAAAACAGTTTAATTTGTAAAATAGTTTCACTCTGATGTTAAATTTATGTCTTTTGCCATTCCGCGCACTGAGCAGCAGGCAACAGGGACAGGGGCCAGTGGTAAAGTAAGCCGACTGACCGCCGAGTTGATTGGCTCGCCTCCCTACGCGTATAGAGGTGGTGCCAGCACCTCTCCGCTGTTTGGTGATCGGCGAAACCCGGGAGGCGCTAGTACCCAGGCGCCAGCGAACAAGTCACCTTTCCCAGTGCGTGGCTGAACCACCATCCATCTGTACGTACTCCTACCTCGGTTTGCCGCTAGCTCCTCCAGTCGCCGTGCGTGCCGCGCACCGCGGCGCTGTTCGTGTGACGCGACGGTTTCCCCTGCCTCTCCTTCGCCATGGTGAAGGCACGACCTGCAGGAGCGGAAGGGAGATCCGCCTGTACGTAGCACTCTTCATTAGGCTAGTCATAGTGGGAGTAACTTAGGTAATAACATAGCGCATTTCAAGAAAATTGTGCTTACGTGGCAAGTAGTTAATGAGAGGTGGTAACATGATATGTTACTGTAACATAACGCATCCCGAGACAAGATGAGTCTACAAATTAATAAATGAAGCCATACATGATACTACTATTATATTACTTTGCATTATGAAGGTAGTAACTTAGACTAGTGTATGACACTAGTCTAAGTTACTCCCCACTATGACCAGCCTTACCCGGCAGAGAGAAACAGAGAAGCGTACCTGGTCTGGCCAGGCAGCTAGCGGAGAGGCCCCTCGGTGAAAATGATCTCGCAACGAAAATGCACTGGCATGCGTCTATGAAGCTGAGGGTGTGTACAAGAGCAACTCCAACGGAGCGAACCAAACGCATGCACGCTTTGTTCGCTTTTCGTCCGTTTGGGTCGGCCGGGCGGACGTGCGCGTCCGCATTCTCAAATGGGTCGGCTTGACCGCCCAACGGGGACGAACCCAAATGTGCCGGCGTGGAAAAAAACAGCTCGCAAAAATAAACATAATTAAACATAAATGGCCGGTCAACCGCCGACCAAAGTCCACTCAAACCTAATTAAGCATTAATTAAAACATAAAAAAATCTGCACCCGCACGCTGCCCTGGACGTCGTCGCCCCTTGCCCTTGACGTCGATGTCGCCATCGCCATCACCGCCGATGAGGTCGATGAAGATGGGAGCAGGGCCAACCCTTCCGAACGCCGCCTGGTACGCTGCCAGGGCAGCCTCCTCCGGCATCTGCTGGGGCGGCGGCATTGCGGCTCGTCGCGCGTGCTCCTCCTTCTCCTCAAGCTGCAGCGCCTTTGTAACGCCCCGGATACAACTTTCCACATTCGTAACTCCAACTCTTGCCTTTTCCGGAGATGTGTTATATTTTTTCCTCCGTGGTTGGGTTTTTTTGCTTTTTCTTCAGGTCTTGCATTTCATCTCATGCCATCATTCGCATTGCATCGGCACTCTGTTGCCGTCATTGTTTTCAAACTTGCATCCTCTTGTAGTCGTTTGTGGTTCCCGCGTCCCCCTTGGCTTCGTTGACCATTCCGAGACCAACCGTGTAAGCGTTCCCCTCTTGTCCAGCCACCGACCCCCCTCTTTCGTGCGTCCGAAAACTTCCCCGAACCCGACCCGGGCTTTCGTTACCGATGGGTTCAGATCATCCCCAAACATCTATAAAACATCTCCGTTTTATTATTTGGACTCCCTAGCCTATTTTTTTCGAATCGTCCGATTACGATCGGAGGGACCTAAATAACTCCTACCCTAATCCCCTGCCTATATATAGTCTAACCCTAGCCCTGTCCCATCCATTCCTCCCCTATCCTATCGCCGCCGCCGCCACTTTGTTTTCCTCGGGATCCCTCCCAA